AAAAACGTTGAGCTAGGATCAGTTTTATTAATTTTCGGATGTTCCGGATCTTCCGGTGGACCATTCCGTGGTCATCAGGGTCTATATTCTGGTCGCAACTTTGAGTTATTTCTGATAAGACATCTATGAGTGGTTTTGAAAAAAACCACGGAGCTCTCAGTTTCATGAATTGACCACTTTTACGGATATTCCGGATGTTTTAGTGGACCGCCTTGTGATTCCCAGTAACCAAATTCCTGTCATAACTTCACATTAATTATGATAAGGCTTCTATGAGAGGTTTCGAGAAAAAAACCGCGGTGAACCATCGCGTGGTTTCCAGGGTCTATATTCCGGTCACAACTTCGAATTCATTCTGATAAGACTTCTATGAGTAGTTTCGAAAAATACTCGGAGCTTTAGGATCAGTTTCAAGCCTTGTCCACTTTTACGGATGTTTCGGATCTTCTAGTTGACCATCCCGTAAGTCCCCACCCAACTAACATTTTTTACAATGTAAACGCTTTACTCATTTCATTTATACATCCTCAAGCTGCATTCAAACGTTATACGATATGAGGCAACCTTTACTCAACCTCTATGCAAGCAAATCTGGCGAACTTAGTCAACTACTTATGGCTGTTGGGACGGTTGGAACAGGCTCTTATTGCATTCCATTTACGCTTCTATTATCCTGCTGTTTAGTTGTGTGCGAACTTGAAAGGCGCTTATTATTCAACCTCTTACCGATTATGCAATAATCACTACACAGCTTTCTCTTGAAGCCGGGTTAAATATTATTTACGCTTTTTTTGTTGGAGAAATTGATTGAGTTTATTTTGCTGTGAGAATCAAATTAATCGAAATTAGTTATAAGCACACCATCAAATTATTTACAGTGCACCGGAAACCTGGAATCGAACTCTGTAGACGGCCGTATTGGCAAACCTTGACACTACCAACTTTGCAACGCCAACACTTTAAACTGACGTAAACAAATAAACATCGTTTTCTACAATAATACCGTTGAGTATAGGCTCTATAATAGTGCACATCTAGATAGAGCTGGAATTAGGGCGTAACAGCCTTTGTAAACAATGACTTACCTCGTTGATATCACGGAATTCAAAGCACGCATACACAAACCAACATATCCATCGGGTAGGAGAAGGCTTCCGATAAATTATCGAGCAAAAGCTGATACGCCCTAATTCCAGCACTATCTAGTCATGAATCACTTTTCTCGGCTAGTTAATTCAGCTTTGTACACTCAAAAAATTGCACACGTCATCATCATGTGTCTCACACTTAATTTTGCGCTTATTGTGAAACACATCCATTTCATGTGTGAATCTTATGCTATGAACCATGCCTGAACACTATGGATTTGAATTGTGACACACTTGGATTCTATGTGCCTCATATGGTGATATCAATAGCTTTGCGCATCATAGTTTAATATTCTACAATATTCTACCATAGACCAAATTCTACTTTATCGACTTCTACTTTACCGACTCTAAAAATGAATCGACAAATATATAAACAAATTTCAGAGGCCAGAGCTTTCACATATCTTTTTAATGGGTCTGATTTGGGATTCGATCATGAACTGTTAGGGTGTGCTGCTGTCGGAGTCTTCGTTCGATCTCACTGTGCCACGGTTGTTCTCATATATGAGGCGGGTTGATAGGATAAAGTCACAACTCTTGTTTTCGATGTTTACCTTTCTGAGCAAGCAATTCACATCGTATTGAAATGCAAAACACTTTAAATCCATCTGTTTTGAACAGTAGTGTGATTCAATGTGCAATACACTTGAATAGATAGTGAAAGATTTTCAACTTTTCAAAGTTTGAAACACTAGACATTAACGTGTATAACACATTGAACTAAGGTGAAATACACTTAAAGTAAATGTGATTGTGCATTTAAAAAATCAAGTGTTTAAACACTTCGATCAAACGTGTGGAATTTTTTGAGTGTAAAAGAGCAGAGTGAAAGCTGTAAAATTGCACACGTCTAAATAAAAAACCTAGTTGACTGTAAAATTGCTTCCAAAGTAGCGCTAACACAGTTTATTAGCTGAATACAGGTTGTTTAGTTGTTGAAAAATCACTTTTTGGGATGTTCTGGATCTTCCGGTGAACCATCCCGTGATCCCAAGGATTTATTTTCTGGTCACACCTCCGAATCAATTCTGATAAGACGTCTATGAGTGGTTTTAGAAAAAACCACGAAGCTACAGGATCAGTTTAATGAATTGACCATTTTCACGGATATTCTGGATCTTCCACAGGACCAGACTTGTGTCCTACTGGAAACTGACTGTTTCTTAAAGGTGGCCAACTATCTGCTTAACAATTTCTTCAAATACATCAGGATGTCATCTCTTCAAATTGACGTACACTCAGTGCCCCGCAATGTACACAATTATAATGCTGTTGGTTAGGCTGGCAGTCATATGTAATCCAAGAGAAATGAATATATTGAACTTTTTCCAATTTATTCATGTTTCACACCAATTGAACAAAGAAGCATGAAATACTTATTAAAGCTATAATATTTTGCTATGGTTTGAATATATATTTTTTTAGAAATCCAATCCACCATAAAACTAGTTGCGTCTGAAAAAATGGAGTAGTTATCAGTATGTTAAAGTAATTAATTTCATACTTTTATTCAGATGACTTTTTTTACGATTGTAATCTCTGATTTTTCAGTCCAAATAAAAACATCAGTATGCTTTTTCCGCTTCACCTCACGAAAATATCTAATAAATTTATGTGGTTAACTGGAATTTCACTTACATGTATTCGAAAACATACTGCACTGTTTTAAATATTTCAGTGAAACATTACAGTAAAGTCAGTTAAAACCTTATTTGCAAACTTGTGTCATTCAAATATCATGTTACATGCACCTTATTTGCAACACCTTTTGCATCAAACATAAGTTGCAAAGAGACTCCTCCTTCTGTGCTTGTTAAGGTATACTAAAATTGTATATGCGGTGCGTTTAGAGCTTCTATTAGTCACACTAAGGTTGTTGTTACTCACTGAGAAACAAATGGTGTTGTTTGGGTGTTATGCTGAAGATCATAAGCTGTACAATACACTTAAATTACGTATTTAAGATTTCATCCCAAGACTGCTGGTTGCTCTGATATTATCTTGTAAATTATTCAAGACATCTCCAGCTGATGGACAAGTCCCCTGATTATTTTTTTAAGACTGTGTAGTACAGTGTATGTAGTCAAAAACGTATTTACACTAGCCGAAATCTTCACTGGTTTGCTTAAAATTTAAAAAGTCTTCGAAAGTGTTATTGTCAGCATGTCTTCACAAATCTTCCCAACACATGAAATGTCTGCGGGTGAAATATTTCATTTCAGAATTTCAAACTGCTTGAATTACGATGCTGGAGGACCGTCAAAATTGATCTTGATGAAATCTCGATTACTTTTTCCAATGGATATACCACCTTTTGCTAACAATGCATTTGATCATCGGTTTGGCGTAACTGATAGCTCGTCCACGCATACTAATACCACTATCAATATTTCCCCTATCTGATGGTATGGTTAGCTTGCGTTGGCGAGCTACCAGTTATGCCAAATCAACGATCAAATGCATTGTTTACAAAAGCTGATACGTCCCTTCGAAAACGTAATCGAGAAATGTCAATATTTTCACCTGAATTAGTAAATGCTAAAACGAAAGATTAGCTAAATACTGACCAAAACTGATTCATGCACATTCCTATGCCCATATGAAACATTATTCCGCATTACACCATGAATTGTCGCAGGGAAAAAGTGCGTGCATTCTCAACCAGAAAGTCAAACATATGTTTTCCCATCTTAATTGTTCCGGCGCGTTAAAAAGGGGCCAACCGCACTCGAACTCCAACTGCATGTAGTAGGTATTGTCGCTGGCACCGTCTCTATAAGCAAGCACACTTTCCCTCTTGAGACCGTAATGGAGTGGAACAAAACGACCGTTTGGCAATACAAAAACCATCTATCACTTGGGACGAGATTCCGGAGAGATCCGGACACCCTTCTCCGGTGCCCTATTGTTCACACGTTCTATGGACAAACACCGAAGGAGAAGAGATAGCCAGGGGAAGAATCTGTGCCCATCCATGGTTGGTAGTTAATATCAAGATAATAAATAATAAATTTGTTCTGAATGACATATCCGCAAACCGTAAAACAACCACCAGGGCAAACCTCGGGAGGAGTGAGCAGTAAGAGCGAGAGGCGCGAAATCTGGACATTTTTGCCTAGATCATTGCATACCTAGCAGTAGCGTTTCGATCGTCGTTTTGCAGCTGGTTGGTTTGGATGGTAGGGATGATCATTCTGTAACTAAACATGGATTCCGAAATCTTCAAGTTTTGCTAAAATTTCTATTCGATCATCCCAACTTTTCGAAAACATTCATAAATTTCCGCAAAAAAAAAATCATCAGCTGAAGTTTTACGTTATAATGGCGCTCGAACGGCGTGTAAATGCAAAAAGTCATCTTACCAACGTCAAACTCATCTCCCGATTGTTCATAAATGCCCTTCTCATGGCTGGAAACACATTTATTTGTCTATGCCCTTGCCTGTCGTGTCTTTTGTTGCGTAAGTGACAGTTTATTATTTTCGGTATACAATCATTTTAAACAGGAGGGTGCCAGTAGGGCAGTTAGGTAGACGGTAGAACGCGATGATGCGGAAGATTGAACTCATGATCGCACCGGTTAGTCGATTGGTTTTCACGTGATTCAAGTTGGAGGCAATTTATCACGCTGGAAAATATGCCTCTCCCTTCGAGGATGGGTCGAGAGGCGCCACTAGGAAGCCATTTGTCCCGATGCGGAACCATTACCGGTATGGCGCGTTTTCATGACTGTTTCGGAATGAGGGTTAGAGCATTTCTACCTACAGGCCAATATTATTCTGTGACAACGTGAGAATTTGTAGCAGTATGTAATTTCTCTAATCCATATTTTTTATTGATCCCATTCCAGACTGAACTAAGGACGTGCACGGCTTGCGGTGAACCGATTGCAGATAAGTACCTCTTCGACGTTGATGGATGCTCGTGGCACGGTTCCTGCCTGCGATGTTCCGTCTGTCTGACGCTGCTGGAGCGACAGCCATCGTGCTACTTTCGCGATCGACAGGTCTACTGTCGATCGGATTATGCAAAGTAAGTGGTAAATTACAATTCATGGGCTTACAAGTTACATTGTTAAAATTTTACTATAAACGTAATTTAGTTGAGCAGATTACACACCTTTATTGAGACTTTGAGTTAAATTAAAAAATTTCGATCAGTGAAAGAGTAATGTGGCATCGTGGGCAAAATTGACTACTCTGTAATTCAGAATTACATTTTTGTATAATTTTAGGACTTTTGAAAATTGTTAAGGCTCGAAAATCGAAACATTTTTTTTCAAGGACCAGGATTCCAATTCTTTTTTGTAGAGGTCTAAAAAGTTTTCAAAGTTGGGTGGAAAGCACTAAAATAAATAAATTGAATTAGAAATCTTAAGTTTGATAAAAATATGAGATATATTGGCAACAATTTAAGAACATAGAATATTTTTAATTAAGATTATGGACCAACAAAATAAAAAAAAAAAACGGGATTAAACCAATGTGCAAAAAATTTAGATGATTTTGAAAACTTTCACGATTTTTGATATGAAAAATATATAAACGTTCTGAGCCATAAATATTTTCCGAGGTTCTGAAACTTGGATTAATTATTAGAATTCTGGAATGTTAATTTAACGTTACTAGAAGGATTGCTGGTTATGCAGCTTGGAAAAATACAGCAAATTTAGGTAGTTTCCAGCAATTCCAGTCAATCATTTGGCCAATCTTTCAAGGCATTTGGCTATGAGGTGATAAACTAACATCAACTTGATTTTGCAATTTTTAAATAGGGTATGTATAGCTTAAGGTTCAATTTACTTTGATGCATTTTCGAAAAATTCAATTGCTGTTTTTTTCGACTCATCATTTCAGATTGCAAAAAGCTCGCGTCATTTTGTGTAAAATATCAAAAAGAATATGCTGAAAATTAAGGGGCAAATATTGCTGATATTTCAGGAGTTACATAACAAGCTTTTCTCGTGTTAACCTTTGCATGCCTAACGTTTAAATGTGCATATATTTCAACATTCAATAAGCTCTTAAAACATCATTCATCAATCTTGTTCTGCTGCCTTTGCCGGTGGTGTAGTGGTAAGCGTGACTGCTTTCTCACCCCAATGGGTCTTTGTTCAATCCCAGTCGAGGTCGGTGGGATTTATCTGAGGCATAAAAAACTCTGGTCACGTCTTCGTTCGGAAGGAAAGTAAAGCCGTTGGTCCCGGCCCATGTGTGTTGATGAATGGGTGCGATATCCTACGCAGGTGTGGAAGCTGCCTTCTTGCACATTCGATTGCCGTCAATGCACACTGGACCAGAAATGCAATTTAGAGGAGCAAAATTAATAACTCCGAAACGAAGCATTCTCGCGACTTGGTGTCTTCGGCAAAATTTCTCATCATAATAAACCATAAAGAACCATCTATTGACATAAACAAATAGCTCAAAACTCTTCCGCAAAGATGGCGCCACAATCTAACTTCTTTCTCTGACGGTTTGGAGACTTGATGCCTTCGGTAAAGTTGTTTGCCTTGACAAATCACCAAAATATACCTCTCTCAATTTTTTATGTTTTGTTCATTGAGTATTGCTTAATTTTTGCTGAAAATGTTAGGCAGCGATTTTTTGCGCTTTGGGAGATATTAAAGTTCAAAAATGGTTTTTTTTTTCGGTTTTTCAACAATATCTTTAAAAGTTGAAGCTTGGACCAACATGTTTCTTCACAAAAGTTTTTTATTTAATGCATTTGCATAAGACAAAAATAAAACATAATATGGTTTTCAGCACAAAAAAAAAAAAAAACCGAAACAGAAAGAAAAAAACAATATTTTCACATTTTTTTCTTTAACTCCATATAACTCGGAATCAGTAGGCTGTGGAAATTTTATGTCTTCAAAAGAGTTGTTTTTTTTTGTCAAGGCAAACAACTTTGCCCAAGACATCATGTCTCCAAAACGTCAGAGAAAGAAGATAGATAGTGGCACCATCGTTGCGGAAGAGTTTTGAACTATTTGTTGATGTCAATGGATGGTCCTTATTATGATGAGAAACTTTACCAAACACACCAAGTCGCGGAAATGCTTCGTTTCGGAGTTATTAATTTGCTCCGCTAGATTGCATTTCTGGTCCAGTGTGCAATGGATGGCAATCGATGTCCGTCGGTGATTGGCGCTAGATTGCGGAACAGAGACCGACGTTGAATAAAGGAAAGAAGAATCTTTTTCTGAACAACAAATTGCATTTTGTCGGGAATATATTAAAATTTTTCAATCCGTCTGGAAAAATTTGAATCAGTACATAGTTCCAGAGTTATTCTGGCTTCTGTTGGGGTCACTCTGGGACGGCATTCGGATTTTCTCACGCACTAAAATTATGTAATAGGACCAATGCCGGCTATACCGATGGTTCATGATCACATTGAGCATCCCGGAAAAGTTCGGGTGGCCAATACTCAACAGCAACCAGAACTCGTCATGCGATATATAAAACTTCATAGTTTTAGAAAACTTAGCCGGTATTGACCTTATTGAGAATCCACGGTCACATTAGCCTTCCCGGGCATGTTCCAGTGCCCCCGGGGAAGTGGCCAATTCTCGACAAGAATCAAAACCCATCGTGTGCAATATCAAACTTCATGATTTAATCGTACTTGGCCGGTAATAAATAACCTTATTAACAGTTCACGGTCACACTTGGGCATATTCTGGTGTCCCCCGGAAAAGTTTCGGTGCCCTTGGGGGAAGTGGCCAGTTCTCGACAAGAACAAAAACCCGTTGTGAGATATAACAAACTTCATGATTTTACAAAACTTGGGTGGTTATGGCTTAATTGAGGTACCACGGATACATTGCTCATCCGGAAAATGTTCCGGTTCCCTCGAGGAAGTGTCCAATTCTCGACAAGAACCAAAACCCGTTGTATTAAGTGCAATGGATAAAATCACTCTAATACAAAACTATGAACTATCTCCAAGGTCTACTCCATTCGCACGGAAGAATCTTCCTCAAGTAACAATTCAAGCTGAACAGTAAGAACAGAAGCTGCTTATTGGTTGATTCAAGGTGTACAAAGCTGATTAACACCAGGCTGAATATATAGTTGATTAGTAGTGAATAAAGCGAATTGTATCCCCATAGTTCAACCTCATTAAATTAGCTGAACTAAAGACTGAACAAGACTTACTTAAGCTTAATCCTACTTCAAAAATCAGCAATGCGCGAGAGCGTCTTTCTACCGGATTTATATAGAATAAAAAGCAACCTATTACAAGATAATATTTCAGCGGCGCCGGTGGTTTAGTGGTAAGCGTGACTGCCTCTCACCCCGAATGGCCTGGGTTCCATCCCAGTCGGCGCCGTCAGGAGTTTCTGAGGAATAAAATCTCTGATCACGCCTTCATTCGGAAGGAAAGTGAAGCCGTTGGTCCCCGGTCTATGTTGATGGGTCGATAGGTAGGGTTCAAGTTTTATTTAAAAAAACTTTATTATAGAGATTTTTATGGTCCAGGTGTTGGATGCCTCCCTGGCATCGTAAAATCCTATTCCTTTTTGACAGTTCATGATTTGCTGGTTTCCAGCAAAAACAGGCAAAAACAACTGATTACTGGTTTTTGTTCATTCATCCTGTGTACCTCCAGTAGTGCAAAGGGCAATTGGATCTACGGTAGAGCTATCTCATGCTTTTTACTGTCATAGGACATGAATTCAGGGGTATTTTACTTGGGGGCAGCAATCAAGAATTTCGTCGTAGCTTACATCAATGTGATGAATATAGGGGTTAGGATGACTGCAACAGACTACTCTTTCTAGCATTCAACACTGCGATGCAAGTGTGAAAGAGTAAGCTGTTTTGTTCTGTCGTACCTCCGTCATTTTTACCGCTGTCAGTATGCCCAAAAGTGTCAAAAATTTCAAAATCATGTGATCTACGGTGCATCTATATGTGGTTGACAGGAATAGATTCCCCCTGATATTTAATCCATAATGCTACTGCAAGGCAGTGGGAGTTGATTGGTAAATACATATGTACATGCATACGAGCCCCTGTTTCGTCTTTGGTGCGATGTCCTGCTCAGTCAACTTTGACAGCTTGTTATCTTATCGGTATCGAGGGTTTTAAACGACCGGTTTTAATGGTAGCTTACTATTGTACTTACTATTTAATTTTCTGTAGCATCTGAAGACAAAAAAAAATCTTTGTAGTTCTAGGGGTTGCAAGGGGTTGGTCACTCCGCACACTTTTTAAATGATCTTTAATGTTTCTGGCAACACTATACAGTCCCTGCGCCTGCTCAGTGCGCATATGTCACTTTTTTAATTCATTGTTGTTTACACAATCTTTATTGGAAACCATACTCGTGACTTTCCTAAATTTCCGCCAAGCTCAGTTATGGAATACATTTAAACAGAACACATCCTTATGCCTGTCCGAAACATTACATCATGTCATGAGCGGAATGAAATTCGTATCACAATGGCAGATGTCGTACAGCGTACAGTGTTTTTTACAAATTCGAAATCAAATTTTTCGTTTTTTCGGCATAGGCTCAAACCTTGGCCCAAACTTAGATTTTTAGAATCAAGATATCGTTCTGGACCTGCTAGGCAGTTCCTTCGAAAGTCGTTCGTAGACCTCCAACATGACTACCACCCTACCACTCAAGTACGATGATGCTCCTAGGGGAATCCATCGTGCAAAACATCAACGTAGTTTGGACGAAGCCCACCGTCATCAGTGCCCCTCTCCTGAAGGCGACACACGTACCTAGCGTGGAACTGGCCAAGGTGAAGAAGATTGTGATGAGAATTTCCTGTGGAGTAAACTGGAAGTAGGTAAAATCGAATGATCTCGACAGGGATGGACGGTCTATAAGTAATCAACAAAGGGACGCTAAAAGTGCAATTTCGATTGCACACAAGAGAGATTGCATTTACTGAACAAATCAGTTCGAGAGCCAGATTGTATATGCATAACTGTCTTCGGACCGTCAGACAGCTCACCAAGTGTCCTCTTTAAATGCTTTCCATAATCAAGTAACACATTCGTATGGCT